TTTTGAAATATTAATTTTAAAGAAATTCTGTGATCATGTCCCCCTGAACTAAAACAGAGAGGTGCATGTACTAGCAACATACAGTAAGCCTAATGAGGAAATTTTGTCAGTTTTGTGTGTTTGAATGAAAATGAAATGAATAAAAAAAAAGTATACAACTAATTTAGGTCCTGTTTCATGAGAATATGACCTGCTAACACGCTTCATTTAATATGTTTGAGTATAAGGATCAGATAATGACCTTTTTAAGCTCGTAAGTAGTAAGTGTGCTGTATATTGAGTATTGTCATTCGATGCTCTTGTGGCATAGGCTGTTGATTTGTAGCTTACGGGTCTGGCAGAAATTATGTTGAAGTGGACGACGGGAAATTAAGCTACAGATCAATGCACTTCAAAAGTGTATTAAAAAAGAGAGAAAAAAATAAAAATCTCACAATAATGAATGAAGCAATAATGACTTAAAAATTCTCTAGGCAGAAGAACAAAATGAAAGATTAAAATGGAAATGATGAATGTCTTTCTGACGATGAGTTAAATGATATTAATTTGGTTAAAGAAGATGGGCGTGTTTGGCGTGTGATCTGCGGAATAAGGCGTACGAAACATTTATAGTTTAAATGTCTACGATTTGGTCGGTTGACCACAGCTGGACATACTTTACAAAGTTACGCACATGGAAAAATGTTACATTTAGTTTGAAATACTTTGTCAAATTTAATATATCAAGACGCTTATCTTAGTAATTACTACATGTAAAACTTAGCAACGCTTCACATAAATAATAAACACATACATGTATAGGGTATATAGTTAAATGCAATTACAAGTACATGTATATATTAAATAAATCAGTACATAAAATTAAACTGACAAAAGAACTGATTGTTTGTAATAAAAAAAAATATTAACGCTGCATGCGAGGATCGAACCAAAAATATCTCTTTTTCATTGCACTGGACGGTTAACGCATATTTTTTTTTTTTTATCTTTTATTGACGGTTAACGCATACTACTGAGCTATCACCGCTACACACAACTTACGGTTTTTAAAGCGACAATGAAGCACTGCATTTACACATTGGGATTTTTTTTTTTGGAAAAGTTCATTTTTTATCGTCTCTGGGTCTTCTCTCCATTTTTTTTTTTTTACAAATGTTTGTTAGTTACTTTGAATTAAAATGCATACAAATAACGTTTCAAAATCATGGAGAGATGACCCAGAGATAACAAATTTTTAGAAAAACGTGTTAAAAATGTAACATTTTGTACCGAATGACCCATCTAGCCAATTTTCAAGCTCTTTTTTAGCAAATCAAAATACAATATCGGGAAAATATTTCCCTTTCCTGTTTCACAGGAACCCGATGCATGAAAAGAATGCTAAAATTTAATGTGACAGATCAATGAAATTTTCACTTTTCAAGTGCGCCCATATTCCTGCCGAATGCCAATTAAAAGCGCCCTCGTTCTTTAAATAGAGATTCTTACAGCTTGCTCAGACAATGCTTCGGAAAAAAAAGACGTAAATCAATAAAATTTTTAATAATGATAGTGAAAGTGGTAGCGATGCAGAAAAAATGTTAGTCCTCCTTTATTAATAGTGTATTGAAGGTGTGGCATGTGAATGAACACTACATCCTCAGCCATCAAGAAGGTAGATATGGTATAACTTATATATAGAAATCTTTCAAGAGTTCATATTTATGTCTCATGTATGAAGTTTCCTAGCTAAGCCTTAACACTAAAGAATCCATAAGCTGAATATGTAGTATACAAATTCCTACTAAAATACGAGACACTAACAATGGACTGATTGGTTTGTGGATTGAAAAGTATTGGCTTTGTTTATAATTATTTATCTCCATTAACTGATTGACCAAGGCGGATTTATGTACTTTTATCATTAAGTGATGTATTAATCCTTGAAATTATATTCATTCCTGTAAGTTTAAGTTTTTAGAGGTAGGTTTTTGTCAGAAGGGAAATTAAGAAAGCAGACGGAGATCAGTTTTAATTGGTGGTAATTAAACTGTGTGGTAAACACAACCAAGACTTCTGCGCCATTGCTAGCTACTGTTTACAGCGCTTGTATTCACACTTTCACGTCACTCTATTTAACCATTAGAAATGAAGCAGTGAACGTCCACTGCATCGTGAAAGAACTTATCTGTGAGTCAATCCCTCTTTTGTATGGGAACCGAGAATCTTGAATATTGGACATTTTCTAATCGCTAGTGGTAAGCTTTTTTTTTTGAATTCCGTGTCGCATTTTTGAGGGATGATTAAGTCAATTAGTTTGTCAGAAAGGGAGTAGTACTTTTTGACTATTCCTCAATAGGGTCTCCAGTAAGCGAGGTATGATTACTTGCGAAATGATGACTTCAAACAAAACTGTTGTTATCTTTGCTTCATCAACTTTTTGGTTATTAGTTTGTCAGAAAGGGAGTAGTACTTTTTGACTATTCCTCAATAGGGTCTCCAGTAAGCGAGGTATGATTACTTGCGAAATGATGACTTCAAACAAAACTGTTATTATCTTTGCTTCATCAACTTTTTGGTTATTAGCTTGCCTCGTTTAAAAAAAAAGATTTTTTGACCTTGACCTTTCATGTTTACCTCACTTGTCTTAAATTATTGATTAGGTCAATTTCAAAGGAACAATTCAGGATATTTTTATCAAACCATATATGTTGATACTTACTGGTGAAAGGTAATCAACTTCATCAGCATTTTTGACCTTGAACTTTCATTTGACAAGTTTCAAAGATACTATTCAAGATATTTTAACAATCTTCTTATGTTTAAACATAATGATAAGACCTTTTCAACTGCATCAACATTTTTCTACCTTGACCTTTCCTCTGAACTTGACTTCACAATTCTTATATTTGTGTAAGTAAGTAAGCCTAAATTTCAAAGAAACTATTCAAGATATTCTTATCAAACTTCGAATGCTTATACATATTGATGAGAAGTATTCAATTAATTGCATCAACATTTTTTACCTTTACCTTTTCTTTGACCTTAACGTCACTTTTCTTAAATTAGTAATAATCTCAATTTCAAAGAAACAAGATATTTATATCAAATTTCATATTAATGAGAGCTGTTCAACTGCATCAATTTTTTACCTTGACCTTTCCTTAGACCTTGATCTCATTTTCTTAAATTAGTGTTAAGCTCAATTTCAAAGAAACTATTCAAGATATTTTAATCAATATTCATATGCTGATACATATTAATAAGAGCTATTCAACTGCATCAACATTTTTTACCTCAACTTTTTGTTTGACCTTGACTTCGAACTTTTTCAAATAAACTATTCCAGTTATTATTTATCAGATTGTATATGCTTAATATGTATTTTGATAAAAGTTATGCAATGGCATCAACATGTTTGTTCTTGACTTTTCCTTTGACCTAGACTTCTAATATATGTTTAGCTAAATTTCAAAGAAAGTATTCAAGATATTTTCATCAAACTTCATATGCTTATATATATTGATGAGAGCTATTCAGTTGCATCAACGTTTTTGAACTTTCCTTTTACTTTCTCGAATTTATGATTAGCTTTGTTTCACAAATCAAGATATTTTTATCAAACTTCATATGCTGATACATATTGAGGACAGCAATTCATCTTTATCAACTTTTTGTCCTTGACCTTTTCTTTGACCTCGACCTAACATTTTTACCCAAATTTGTATTTAGCTCAGTTTCAAAGACACTATTATAGATATTTTTTATGCAAGCTTATGCACTAATACATTTTTAGCGAGAATTTATTTTTATCATTTTTTTTTAACCTCGATCTTACCAATGACCTTTGACTTTACTATTTATTGTGTATAAAACTCAGCCTTAAAGAAACTCTTCAAGATATTTTCATCAAACTTCATACGCTAATATTTACATTTCCAATGTCTTTGTCCGAGATAAAATTACAAATTGTAAAAATACTTTATTTCTACATAAATCTACTGGTTCATCGATAGGCGCGGTTAATAAAATCGCGTGCGGGGCGGGACAAATAGAGACAGAAGCGGGGCTATTAGCACGGGAATTTGCAGAATCAGGAGCATGTAAATATAAGGAATAACTGTCAGATTTTTTGGATTCATGACGATGATCAATCGATTGGCTTGCGTGATAATTTTATGCAGAAACGCCTTCGGCGTTTATGCAAATTATCACGCAAGCCACTCGATTGATCACATCATGAATCCAAAAAATTACACAGTTATTCCTTAAATACATATTTTCCTGTGTCATTATTAATGAATTCTGGGCGTGGCATTCATGTCCAATGGACATTTTTTGAGTTCTAGATGGCATGATATATTATTGAAGAAAAATCATTATCATATGTATGTTTAAGAAATGGGGTTGTTGTAAGGTTGTTAAAATTTCCATTAATATTTTGTGGGAAACCATGTGAAATTCATGCGCCATTTTAGTGAAAGGATTGATAACCCTCGTAAAGAATGCCTTGTCTGTATCACTCTACTTGTGGTATTTAACACAGTGACTATATGTATCTGAATATACAGATATATTTTGATAATTTCAAGAAAGGCACAATTTTTTTGATTGGTTTTTAATATTAGTAACCCCGTCTTTATGAACCAATTAAATCAATGACTTTGGACAATTTATGTACCCCAAGCCTTATATAGGAAATGCCAATTTTGATCAGTTAAAGTGCCTCATGTGTGTTGCCCTGTTATATCCACAAATAATCAAGAAAGTGTCAACGACAAAATAATACGATACAATATATTAAAAATTTAATTGCAACAAATATATAAAACTACATTCAATGTTAATCTAGCATGAGGTTCATATTGGATTTACAATTAGAGGAAAATTTGGATCAATTTCCATTTTTTTCCCCCCAAAAATTCATCCTCCATGAGTGTCAATTAGTTACGAATTTCTTAAATATCTACTTCTGACATTCATATATTCTTAACTCATACATACATTACATGAACACACATTTATGGTTTTATGAATACATGAACTCTTTGAATTCCATTTCCTCTGTAGTGTTGTTTCCAGTTGGTGGCGAGATACGGGTATCTAATTTTCCCATACCATCGTCCGGCATTGTATCTTATGTAATCTTTTTCATCATCATACATAACTCCAATTGTCATTGATCCACCTTTCTTTGTCACACACCATGCCCTCGCGATCGCAATGATATCTCCCCATGGGTTTAGCCCGTCGCCATACCTACCTAGACCAGAGTGCTCAACAGAGCTAAATGTTACCACAGCGTCAAATTCACCAAGTGTCTTGTTAAGAAAAGCTTTCCTAAATTCTCTAGGAATGTAAGCTTTAATTTGCGGATGCAGGGATTTAATTTCTCCATATTCAAGAGTAACAACTTCCTTGGCGCCGGCCTCCAATACGCATGCCTCAACCCATGGACTCTCAGAACCTATGACCAAGACACGCCCACCTTTGACGCCAGGAGCATGCTGTAAACCATCTCTTAACGCGTTAGTTTCTGAACTGCCATAAGCCCCACCTAAAATTCCTCTCCTTGCTAGAGAGACCTGTTGGTCTACATTTTCTCTTGTCCATATAGGTGTTCTACTTTTTGTATTCAGATATGGCATATTGAAATACCACTCAGATACTGGCAGTTGAAAATTCATTGTGTAGTCTTTAAGAAGTCTATCTGGAATCTTTCTTGGTGCTACTTTCAACCCATGCCCTTTGTCAATGTATTCATTTTTAAAAATTGCTACACAATTTATTGGTGCTGTTACGTGGTTAAAATAAGGACCTGGTGTACCGGGTCGCGATGTATTGCAGAGCTGTCCACAGTCTCTTCGTATTATTTCTATTTCTGCATACGGGATACCATCAGCACTTTTGGGAAGGATAACTGTTTCAATCTTATTCCTGAGAGGTGTTGTGGAAGGATTAGGGTCGGAAACGGATAAGATTCTTACATATTGTGTCAAATGTTTTCGTGGCACAAAAAACATGAAACCGGCTACGAGGAGTAGAACTGCAACTAAGCTGTATTTGTGTCGTGATGCATGTATGTTGGTCATAATTCTGAAAACAAACAAAAAATACATTTTTACATTTTATTTTAAAAACATTTTGAAGTCATCCGAACTGAAGGCTCACCAGAGCTTTTCAGATAGAAATCTGTTAGCCCTTTCTTCTCAAAGCCCCATTTCAATCACATTTGGCACAGATAGTTCTTTGGTGAAAAAGATGAAGGACCGAGCCCCCTCCTTAGGGGAAATAATGGCGAAAAAGCACAAAAAGGTACGGTTATTTTAAAAACTTCTGAAGAACCACTGGGCCAGAGAAAATGAAATATACAATAATAGTTTCTTATCAGAGTCTTTTGTTAATCATGGACATAAGGATTAGTTTGGGGCTAAATTCCGAGATCAACTTTTACTAAGTACATGTTTTTACCGAAAAATCTAGTAAATTTTTTCTCCAGTACCGCAGGACCATATTAGTTACATGACATACAAAATCCACATGTAGTTTTGTTCAATTTTAACTTCTTTGGGCTGGAGTGGGACAAAATTTTGCGTAGGAAAAAGGAGGAAAACTATTTTTTAGAGGCAATATTCAAAAGGCCGTCACGGAGCTCGGTAGTGCTTTCGCTCCGTGATCGGAACATAGTGGGTCCAAGCCCAGGCCGCGGCAGACCTAAGACGATAAAAAACAGTTAGTAACTGAAGTGAAAGTCACAGGTCTTTCGGATGAAACCTTTAATCCCAAGGCCCCGTGTCACGGGCGTTGGCATGATAAAGATCCCTCACTGGTTCTGAGTGACATGTTAAGTCTTAATGAAGCCCTTTACCGGTATATGGTGACGTCTCTATACGAGTTAAAAATTTTCGAATGGGACCTAAAACAACATACATTTAACTAATCAGTCAAAAGAACTGCTGGGCTAAGCTGCCCTTTAGATTAGCGTTGAGGCCTTAGACTGTTTGTTCTTTTAATATACGATTGTAGTAAAAAAGTTTGATAACATAATATTCAGAAACAGAAAACGTGCCTTTAAATAAATGATATGAAGGCAGAAAGTGTACTGAATGCATACAACTTCTTTGACTTCAGTTTTACAAAATATAAACTCAGTTTGTGAATGTTAATTCAATGTAATTTTTTTTCTTCAATTATGGCTTCATATAAGTTGTGCCAAACAATATTTTGCAATATAAAAATTTCACTTTGAATGCATTGTTAGTAATTGCTCCTTATTCCTGTTATATACACTTCAAAATCTTTATATTTGTTCATATTTAGAAGATACATTATCAAATGGAGCATTTAAGACACATTTATTTATTAAAAAAAAAAAATAAATAAATAAATAAATAAAAACATGTATCTGGAAATTGTAAGTATTGCCTTCTTTCTTGTATACATGTTGTCTTTTAAAGGTGCTTGGACACAGATTTGAAGTTAATATTTTCTCAAATTTTCTGAATAATTTCATGACTTTTATGTTGCTATAGCATTTCATACTAAAATATTAATAATAAAAATCTTATTTCATTTCGAAGTTATTAAAATTTCGAATTTCTGGACGCGTTGGATTGTCACATCCTTGCGCTTTCACATATTTCAATTTTATTCTTAATACTTAAGAAAAGTGGGAATTTTGATGTGTATTGATGAAAAATATTAAAACTTTAACCCAGAAAATTCAGAGTAGAAATGTTCGAAAGCAAAACCCACTCACAGTATTGTAAGTCCGTGCTCAGTGGTGTGTGCAGAGTTTAACAATTGAACACACCCGGTGAATCGTAAACATTAACAATAACAGAGCTCCTGCCCTGTTTACAAAAACAGTTTGCGTTTCGCGGTCGTGTTCAATTAGTTAAACTCTGTACACATCACAGAGCACGGACTGACAATACTAGTGAGTTGGTTTTGATTTCGAACATTTCTACTCTGAATTTTCTGGATTATAGATGTAATATTTTTCATCAATACATAACAAGATCGCTTCTTTTCTTAAATATTAAGGATAAAGTTAAAATTTGTGTAAGTGCAAAGATGTGTTAATCAAACGCGTCCCGGAATTCGTAGTTCCAATAATTTCCAGATTAAATAAGTTTTTTTAATTATATTTTCGTGTAAAATGCTATTGCAATATATAAGTCAAGATATTATACAGAAAATTTGAGAAAATATTAAGTTCAAATCTGTGTCTAAGCACCTTTAAAGAAATGTTTTCAAAACAAGTAAAATAGCATAATTATATCAGAGAAAACTTCATAATGGTTGCGTATTAACAACACCTTTTCTTCTTTGGCAAACTGGGAATATTAGATTGTACGCCTTTGCTCTTTAAGAAAACAAAATGAAATTCTTTATGTAAATACTTGCTTTACGGTGATTTCTATATAAATATAAACTTCTAAAAATCATAACCAAATCCTGATGATATTGAGTGTTAAGTGGAAATTCAAAACAGTTATTATACGCACTATTCAGAACAAAGAAAAATACAGATCAAGTGTCGAACTCGATGGGACTGGGGAAAAAATTCGAGATATTCATGGGTTCGAAATAATGAGGGTAAAAATAGACAAAAAGTGCTTGGGAGTTCCAAATGACTTCGATATACCCATGGTAATCGAGATATCCATGTTCAAAATATCGAGGTTCAACTGTATATTGTAATTCTGATAGTTTATTTATATCATTTGCAGGATATTTTACTTAGCAGAAAAAGACTTAATCAAATTAGTGTCGAGCATATTAGCATGGATAACACCAGGACTATAATTAAGGTCTTATTTCGATCGAAGCAGAGGACAGGGGATTCTACTACTGCTCAATATCTTCTTCGTGCGCGGTATGTGTTAAGAGATGTTAAGGGCAAGATGAAGAAAGTAAAGGGGTTGTTTTGCTTAATTTAGTAAAACTTTTATCTAGAATATTTGTAGCAGTGGTTATCTGGAAAAAAAAATCGATCATTTTTTCTGTCGCAAAATAAAGAAAAATACTAGTATATGCTACACCATTTACAAAATAAAACTTGTCATACTGCAGCTACCTTGATTGCTGTTAAAGTAGTTACAGTACTTCAAAAACATTTTTATAGCTTATTCGTAATTTAGACAAGGTGTATTTTCTTTCTCTCTCTCTGTCTGTCTGTCTCTCTCTCTCTCTATATATATATATTCTCGAGTCATAGAAATATTACTTAGATATGTAATGCACTTAGAGCAAGTGTAAGCCGTTCACTTCTTATGATTATAAAATTTGATTTCTGACAAATTGTTTGTGTACATAGGTTTTAATTATGTATTACATGTACACTTCACAGGAAATACAGAAGTAGACTAAATAAACTGTCTAAACTGTCTTTTGTATAATTCTCGATTCATAATGACAGATACTTTGTTTAAGTATGTATATGGTTAAATACCCCCCCCCCTCCCCCCATGTGTATCTACAAAAAATATCGTCATCTCATTACTGTCAAATAAAACTAAGCCATGCAAAAATCACCAAAAAGTCGGCACGTCACAGAACTTAGGCCTGTCATCATAGAAGAAAAATCTTTCTTCTCACTTTATTTAATCCAAAGTATTGACAAATGAACTTAATGAATTCAACACTGGAACAAGAACACATTTCTTTATAACCCCAAAAAGAACGATATTTTGTCCAAAAACTAAAAAAGACTACTATTGATGTTAAACAGAATCTGTCAGGTAAACCACTCCTATTGTTTTAAAGCCTCCACGAGGTACATATTAAATAATAATGAATAAGATGTTACGCGGGTATGTTAAGGAAGCATATAAGTCAATTCTCTGGAAATTTAGACTTTTTAAAGAAAATTAAGTTTGATAATTTACCAAAACCGCTGATAAATGTAAACTATTATTATCTATCGCATAAAGATAAAAGAGTGTCTAACGCAAAGACGTGCACCACCACCACGGCATCACGTGACTTCTATTAATAGCGAAATTTTCCTTAGTAAAAAAGCTAACAGAACAACAATACCCCGAAGTGTAATAATTTCTTTGAGTAAATAATATAGTTGGAAAACATCTACTTTGCCTAAAAAGTGCTGCTAGAATTCCACTGTCCCGTCAGTAAAATAATAATTCCACACATTCGCACGAAACCTTACCCGATGTTTTGAATTTTATACATATAAACCGAGATTTTTCGTAAAACCATGCATAACTCGGGATTCTAGCAGCACTTTCCAAGTATTTTAGGAGGCAAACTTTCCATCTGTACAAATCTTATGTTTTGAAATATACAGCTTATTGTTGTTCTGCTGCATTATTTTTGTCACAAATGACAGAGGAAAGGCCGACCGGGATACGTATATAGCTGACTGTCTTCGAAGAAAATACAATCGATGAAAATAAATTAGCATACCTGTTTCAGTAACTGAAGTCCATATGAATTTCACATAATATTCAGGATATTTGCTTTTAAACTCCATTTTACGTATCTTTGTACATGCCGTCTTAGCCAAATTCTCTTTACACGACATGATCAATTCCCAAGTTACTTGAAGTACACATATGACGTCATCGGTGGTAGATTTTAATCAAAATGACAGATACAGCATAACAAAATAAAAACATTTTATTTTTGTTAATGTTTACACGTTTCTATTCATTTTCTAGAGTTAAATTACATCTCTAAATACGAATATTACGAAAACTTGTTTTCTAAAATTGACGTCATCTCGCCTACTATGACGTCATAATGTAGCACTGATTAAGTCCAGGTAGAATATTTTGTATGCTTCCTTATTACCCCTGCGTACGCATCACAACAACTTGTTCATTCCATATCTGCTAGTGGAATCGGAAGAAGTTGTTTTGTGTACATTTAATTTGAGACTTTTTTTCGATATTTAATTAATACTTTTATAGCATTATAAATGTATCATTTATGGTTAATTCAAAATCATAGATCTGCTCTAAAAATAGAAATGGATTAAAGTTTTTGAATGGCTCATTTTGGGTTTTACATCGGATTTCTCTTGTCTGAGCTTGAGAAGAAACTATCATTGTTTATGTTTGAGAAG